GCAGCAGCAGCAGCAGCAGAAGAAGAAGAAGAAGGATGAGTGCGGAGTTAGAATGAGGACAGCGGATGGGCTCGTTCGAAAAGCGGCGCTGATGCCGTTCGCGGTTTCGAGGCGGATGACCGAGACGCACGATCTGGTCGAGGAGGAAGAGGACTGTCGAGAGCGATTGCGGCGTCTCGTTTTCGGAAATCCGAGGGCAGAACGTGAATTGGTACCCACAAACGATCAACCCGGATTTCGTATTATTCACGCTAGCGGAATGTTCGAAACATATCGGATAGACCTAACGCGTTTTGAGGACCCGGAAGAAATCACGCGATATAAGGATCGCATCGAGGAAATTTTACAAAATCATCGTTTCAAAGCTATCAGATATCGACTCGTTTTGGTCGTAAATATGCAGCGAGGGGCAGACGTGGCCGTACCTGCCTTTCACTCGGGTGCATATAAAGTTTTCGATGGATTAGATTTGGAAAGGGACGTAAATCCCTTAATCGCGGCGGTTGGACGATGGACCGAAAACGGATCGGATTGGAGAATAAATCATCTCGTGCATCTAGATATAGTGATCGCCAGGCTCATCCCCTTGGGTGGTGGAGGGTACGCACCGTTACCCGACGTGTTGAAAAATAAAAAAGCAATCATCAACGTTAAAAACAAAGACGACTCGTGCATCAAATACGCCGTTACCAGCGCGCTTCACCCCGTCAAGGGTCACACCGATCGACCCTCGAGTTATGCTCGACATCTGGACGAGCCCGACTGGAGCGGTATAACGTTTCCCACGCCGGTCAAACAGATTAAAATCATCGAAAAGAATAACCCTCGGCTCAAGATTAACGTTTACGGCTGGGCAGAAGAGGGTAAAGGGTATTTGCATCCACTATACTTTGGCGGCGAGCACGTGGATCGTACGCTGATTAATCTCTTGCTGTACGATAATCACTACATGTGGATTAAAAAGATGAGCCCGCTTCTCACCGGCTACAGCAAGCACAAGGGGAAAAAGCATTTCTGCTGTCGATGCTTGCACGTTTATAGCACGGAAGAACGTCTGTTAAAACACGAGCCCGATTGCAGGGGCATAAACGACGGCTTAACGGCGGTGCAAGTCGCCGATGAAAATGGTGAGTTGTTGAAATTTAAAAACGTACAATACAGGGCCAAGACGCCGTTTGTAATCTATGCGGATTTCGAGTGCATCTTGGAAAAGATGCCTCCAGACGAGTCCGGCCCGAAAACGTTTAGAGACGCCAAGCACGTGCCGTGCGGTTGGTCGTACGTGGTGGTAAGGTGCGACGGTCGAGCGGTCGGACACGATTTACGCAGCGCAAATGCCGACGATGCGAGCGCGTGCGTAAAATCCTTTTTGGATCGACTCGCGATCGAAAAGGATAAAATTGTCGACATTTTCAAGCGAAAACCCGTCGACCCCCGCAGCGTGATGACGGACGAGGACGAAGCGAGCTTCGAGGCCGCGACGACCTGCTGGATCTGCGAACGAGGCGGTTTTACGGAATATGGCGGGGTCGGCGACTGTTGGAAATGCGACAAGGTCAAGAACAACCCCGACAACAAATTCAAGACGTGCTACGAGTGTGCGGTAAAAAAGAATGGACAAAAGGTGCGAGATCACTGCCACGTCACCGACACGTATCGCGGAGCGGCTCACGCGGGTTGCAATCTCAAGTTACGGTTACACGAGAATACGCCCATACCCGTGATATTCCACAATCTTGCCGGGTACGACGGGCACCTAATCATGCAGGCGATCGGAAAGATGCCGGGAAAGGTTAGTTGCATTCCGAGTAATACGGAAAAGTACATTTCCTTTACCTCGGATAACCTGAGATTCATCGATTCGATGAAATTTCTAAACGCCTCGTTGTCGGCGCTGGTGAGCAAGTTGCCGATCGACAAGTTTAAGCTCACCAAGACATTTTTCGACGGCGAGGGCGATTTGGAACTGCTCACGAGAAAGGGTGTGTATCCGTACGAATACATGGATTCGTTTGACAAGTTTCGAGAGGAAGGTTTACCCAGTAAGGAGCTCTTCTACAGCAGCCTGCGTGACGAGGGTATAAGCGACGACGACTACGAGCATGCCGCGAGGGTTTACGAGCATTTTAAATGTAAAAACTTGGGCGATTATCACGACCACTACCTCAAGACGGACGTTTTGCTGTTGGCCGACGTGTTCCAAAACTTTAGGTCGTCGGCGTATCGAGAGTACGGATTGGATCCGTGCAACTATTACACGCTGCCGGGTTTTAGTTGGGACGCGCTGCTCCGCATGACCGGGGTGGTGCTCGAGCTGATTACCGACTTGGACATGCACATGATGATCGAAAAGGGAATCAGAGGCGGTCTCACCATGGTTTCCCATCGATACTGCAAGTTTAACAACAAGTACTTAGACGACTACGACGAGACAAAACCCAGCACGTACGGACTAGATCTCGATGAAAACAATCTGTACGGGTGCGGCATGAGACAGCCGTTGCCGGTATCGGATTTTAGGTTTATCGATCCGGGCAAGTACGAAAAGGCCCTCGAGGCACTCACTTCGGGACCGCTCATTCTATTGTCATTGTATGCAGATAAAGTTGTCGATTACTTCCTGGTTTTCACTTAGACCATCCAATCAATAAAACCTGTCTCTTATACACATCTAGATGTGTATAAGAGACAGGCGTGGATGAAAGAGTACATCGACATGAATACCGAGCTCAGAAAGGCGGCAAAAACCGACTTTGAAAAAGACTTTTTCAAGCTAATGAACAATTCCGTTTTCGGCAAGACTATGGAAAATGTTCGCAACAGGCAAAATGTCATCTTGTGTAAAAATAGCGAAAGTAGAAAAATAGCCAAGCTCTTGGCGAAACCAAACTTTAACAGGCACGTCGCTATCAACGATGACCTCGTAGCCATCCACATGAACAAGACGCGGGTCGTGCTCAACAAACCCATCTATTGCGGTGCGGCCGTCTTGGATCTGAGCAAGCTCATAATGTACGAGTTTTGGTACGACAAGCTCAAACCCTTTTACGGCGATCGCGTCAAGCTCTTGTACACAGACACTGATAGCCTGATTCTCAAGATCACCACCGAGGATGTTTACGCCGACATGCGAGAAAATTTAGATTGGTTCGACACGAGCAACTACGACGAGGGCAGTATGTTGTACAGCGAGAAAAATAAAAAAGTACCGGGAAAGATGAAGGACGAATTGGGTGGAATCCCCATGTCGGAATTTGTTGCGCTCAAACCGAAAATGTATTCGTTCAGGACGCCAGAGCCGAGGCTGAATGTCAAGCGGGCAAAGGGGGTCGCCAAATACGTCGTAAGGGGTCATCTAAGTCACGACGATTACGTGCGGGTGTTGACGAGCAGAGAGGATATGTATTGCGACATGACCTCGATTCGAAGCAGCAAGCATTTGCTTTTCACGTTCAAGCAGACCAAAAAGTCGCTATGCCCGTTAGACACCAAGATGTATATACTCGATGACGGAATCACTTCCTACGCGTTTGGAAATTGGAGGATTGCACATTCCCCGACATGATTTGGAAATGACGTCATCGGGGTCACGGAAAAGAGTTTTTGTGATGACGTCATCGGGGTCACGGAAATGACCTTTTGTGATGACGTCATCGTGGTCACGGAAATGACCTTTTGTGATGACGTCATCGTGGTCACGGAAATGACCTTTTGTGATGACGTCATCGTGGTCACGGAAAAGAGTTTTTGTGATGACGTCATCGTGGTCACGGAAATGACCTTTTGTGATGACGTCATCGTGGTCAATTGTGTCATTTTGGTAGTCATGAAAAAGCTGGGCCATTATTTGTTGTAAAGAGTCATTTTGGTAGTCATGAAAAAGCTGGACCGCCTATTCTAATACACTGTGTAGTGTATTTGAATAGGGTCGGCCGGGAACTCTCATTTTGCTATCTACTGGACACAAGTAAAATATAAATAAACAGATTCAAGATTCAAAATATATTTATTTATAATACATTTTTATAACACATTTCATCAAATATCTACTCAGTTCGGAACCGCTCATTTTATTGTCATTGTATGCAGATAAAGTTTTCGATTACTTCCTGAACCCTGTAGCCTAACAGCATAGTACTCTATTTATAGTTTATTGACATATAGAGTACATATATCAGCCCTGTACTACATAAAACCATTACTGTTACTTTATCAAGATACGCTCTTAGTGTTTATGCTAATTAATATGTCAAACTATGCATGATATCACAATAAAGAAGGTGGCAGGAACGATTAAAAATTCCAAGAAGAAATATGTATATATTTTTCATTTCCTGAAAGACGTCAACTCTTGTTTTCTCACACTTGTGATTTGTCTCACTAAGAATATTCCTGAAAATCAGCAAAGGCAACACCGTGAAGCAATGATGCTAAGCATACTGATGATAAAGATAAGATCTTTAATGATTTCACGAATGCCGTATATAACGCAAGAAGAAAAAAACAATAATTGTTTTCCAACGGTCTGCTAACTTCTCCAATCACCACAAAGAGCGCAAGTAAACCTGGACAACGTCGGAGGGTTAAAAGTGCCAGGACAGTAACAGTATAAACCAATAATGTTAAAACATGTATTTTGTAATGCAGTATCCATCAATCTTACACTGCAGCGTTCCTAAATCGACTTATTCTCATTATGTAGCATGTCCATTTTGTAGCATGTCCATTTTGTAGCATGTCCATTTTTTACTTTGTCTAATATAGATACCATGGCCAACACTCTGAAGTACTGAACAGTTTTCAGGATTTACTTCATTCACAGCACAGTTACAATTGAAAGAGGATTAAATGGTCGTGATGAAGAACAAATTATTTTAGCAAATCTATTTAAATTAAACAAGGACCACACCTTCAATTGAACACAAACTATAGTGAATTCAAAATAGACCATGAATTTAACTGAACATGAACAATGTACTGCATTAAAAAACACACATTGTACATTACTATGGAGGTACACCTCAATAAAGTTACTAATGAGCCAAATATTAAATTGAACATAGATCGGGTTTTCACTTAGACCATCCAATCAATAAAACATGGTCTACACCATGTTTAACTGAACATGAACCATGTATACAAACCCCATGCATTACACTCACCAATGACTACATATTCAATTGAACATGGAACATTTGCAATTAAATGCTGATGATATGGCTTGTATAGTGCATTTATCAAATAAAATATACACAGATGTTTCTATATTTAATTATCAGTCAACAAGAAAATTAACACTAAAAGATTTAATACACTACAAAAGTTATTATCCAGAGAAGCAGACTGACAACTGATGCAATTGTATGATCTAATTCAAGTCATTCTTTGTGAAAACTTATTAAAAAATAAACTTACAAAATACTCATAATATACATATTACCATTGATTTTCAGAAATGCAATAAAATTATTATTCAGGAAATAGGTATCAAATTCTTTAAAAAGTCGTTAATAAAATAAAATAGAATATAAAAGGAAAATACAATATAAAACAATAATAATTAATGCTTATCTAATAAAGATATAATAAATAACTAAATATCACATAATATACCATTATCATGTTACATATTAATAAATAATTTTATATTACATGTTATATTTCCTTCGATATAATTGTAATGCTACACCTATGTAATAACCTTTGACACAAAACACATTTAGATGATTTACTGTTTACTAAATTGTATAATAAATTATTGGGCATTGCTTAATATAATGCTTGCATTTATAAATGCATATATGTGCTACACTGTATAAACACAGACAACTTGAAGTACAACAAAAAACTGTTGTATGCCCATATATAGTCATGATGTGACTATTATGTTCATGATGTGATGTCATCATTACCATATATAGATATGTCACATGCAGGCTGGAAAGGGCTTAACTCATAATTTTATTGACCTTTGTGTAATGATAAATAGAAATAAACTTGATATGCAGGAATTAAAATTGAATAATGCTGATACAGCCAATTATGCAATATAAATTTAAGGATGTTTATATTATATATGGATAACGAACGTAAACATAAACAAACTATATAAAAACTTTTTGATAAATGTTTTTGCTTGTTAGTAACACTAAGAACATTATCTGTATTATATAATCATTATTTAAATTATTTTTTAAAAACAGAAATAAATGAGGTATTTAAAAAATGGAGTGGGCAATTAGTGTGCAACTTTATAATGAATGTCAGGTCTCCCTCCAATTAAAGACCACTTTTGGGACCGGGGTTTCCATGGCCTTTAGCAACTTTTGTCTCTAATTAGAAAAATAAAATACTGTAACGGACATTTGTTAATTTGGGATCACAGAAAAGTGGTTTTAAATTGGAGGTGGTCTTTAATTAGAGGGAGACTTGTATAAGAATATTTCCACTTAAAGACCATTGTTGGGATCAGGGTTGCCACTGTCTTCAGCAGCTTTGGTCTCCAATAATATAGATAATAATAAAGATACTGTAACAGACATTTGCTAATTAGGGGCCAGAGAATTAGAGTTGAACTTTAAATAGAGGGAGCCCTGTATAAGAACCTGGTTAAGGAGACTATAGTACTGGATAACATCAACATCATCCTAGCAACAGACACCAACACCTTTCATAATCACCACCACTACCAATAGGCCAAACAAGAATTCCTGTGCTGGGGCCACATTTTGGGTAAATCCAAAAAAAGGGTAGGTTGGTAGGAAAAAGTTTTTTTTTTTACCAATAGAATAGTGTGTTTACTTCTTATTATTAAGCAGCTAACTTCAATTTGAAGGCTCTGCCCCTCCAGCTCACTGAGTTTTGTATCTGTGTATCAGGCTGTGTGGTATTCTTTTTAAAAATCTAAATAAATACAAATGAAAGAACTGAAAAATAAAATAATGTAATCAACACCACCATAACCACCACCATCATCATCACTATTATCAGCAACAGTACAAACAAAACCCCAAATCACATACATCCAATACAGTGTATCTAAATAGATACAATTTGTCATATTACTGTCTATTTTCTCTATGATACAACTGTGCATATATAAATCCCATGTTTTATCATTTTACTTGATAGGTTACTTAAGACAGTGATAATGGGCCTTTCCAGGGTGTCAATCAAACTGACCAATGAGAAAGGTCCACTGAATTTTGGTGCTCTGGATTTTGTACACATCTTGATGGTATTGGCTACCTATAAAACTTGATGTGTCGTACGGCAGTTGTAAGACCATCGGCCGATGAATCCAACTCCACTCTCTGTGGATGGCTAGATGAAGCGATGCCGTCGCCTGCTGATTGTCGTTGGCAGTTTGAACGGATTGTCATTAAAAACAATCCCTTGAGTGCACGTCGTGGCGTTGAGTTCTCCGTAGAATCGCATAAACTGACGATTGTTGGGGGCAGTGAATAACAAGCTCTAAACACGGGTTATAAAGCAAGCATTGCCCTGTCTATATCATTGTACCCTACATCAGTCAGTCATCAAGTGGGTAAAACAACAGCATGGAATGGCAGTAAACTAAGGGAGTATACATCAACCAATGGGGTGTGAAGCCACAACACAGAATGGCACTATCTTTCGGTAGATTTAATTGCTTTTTCCTTGTACTTCCTTAATGCTTGTTTTCTTCTGGAATCAAAGCGGGCGTTTCACTATGGAATTGCATGTCAAAGAAATCGAGAATTGTGCTGCTGAGGCGTCATTGCTTGCTTTCGTCTCGGAGAGCTTGATCCACATATTTCGGTTACCATCCACCGTGTTTAAAAGAACTTGTGCTTCAGGAAATATGTCGGCAAGAATCCTACAAACATTTGCAAAAAACAAATAAAAATTTCATCAAACACATACTGTATTTTGTACTCTACTATTATACTCTGTAATAATAATAATAATAATAATAATAATAATAATAATAATAATAACAATAATAAGAATAACATAATAAAAATAATAATAGCAATAAGTTCAATAACAATAAAACTAATAATAATAATAATAATAATAATAATAATGATAATAATAATAATAATA